AGAGGCTGTGGCAGTAGTGACAGCTCAGGTGAATGCCCCCTTCAGGGCTTGTGCGCTGGAGGGAAGGAAGACAAGTAAGGGAGGGGCAAGAAGTGTGTGGTGGTGGGGGCGGGGGGAGGTCAGACTTGTTCTTTGCTCTGCCCAGACCAACCTACCCCAATTTTCATACCCTCTCTATGGCGCCACTCCCTTTATCCCTGGTCTAGGATCTGAAGTACCTGGAACTTGGTCCAGCAGCTGGGGCTGCAGAATTGGTAGACTGTGCGATCGACCTTGTTGTAGTAACAGGGGTCAGAGAGGCTGCGGCGGCAGAAGCTGCAGGGTCGGGGAGGGCCTGGGGTATAGAGAGAAAGGGAGAGCGAAAGAGAGAGGAGAGAGAGAGCACAGAAGGTGTAAGGTAGTGCAGAGATGGAGAGATGGAACAGGAAATCCATGGGAAGATGTGGTTGGGACTGAGGTCAGGCAGCAGGGGTTACTTTAGAAGAAGAGGGGAGTACGGGGTGGAGAGATAGGAGGAAGGCCAGCAGGGGTCTCAGAGAAGAGGGCTTTGCACCTACCAGTGAGCCCTGCCTGCTTCACTTTGTAAGAGGTGGTACAGCAGAGGGAACAGAACAAGCTCGTCTTGCCATTACGATCCACATGTGATAGCATCTCAAAGTTCTTACACAGGGTCTTGCACCAGACACAGGGGTACACACGTGTGTTTTTCTGTGAGGATGGGGAAGGAGAGGCTGAGGCTGGATTTGTCCCTTCACTTTATTTTTTAAATTTTTAAAACATGGAATATTTCAAGCATACAAAAAAGTATAGATGATGATATAACAAAGACCTGTGTATCTACCAGCCAGCTTCAAAAAATAAAACATAACAGATACAATTGAAACCCCCTTTATTTGTTTTATTCCTCCCAGCCTCGACCCATCAGGCACCTTTATTTATCACCCAAGAACCGCACCCCCTTCCACAGCCCTCTAATGCACTACTCCCTCGGCCCCACCTTCTTGTATGCCCCCAAGCAGGTTGTGTTGCAGAACCGCTTTTGTTGGCCCTCATGGAAGAGGAGCTCGGGGCCAGGGGTCCCGGTCTTGGTGTAGATGTAAGCCCCGCACTGGTCACAACAGTTGGTTTTCAGTCCCTTGTTGGCCCGGAATTTGGAGAAGCAAGAATCACTGCAGAGCCGGTGCACCACGCTGCCATTGCTGACCTCATGCTGGACCTGCCACACACACACACACACACATATCCTAAGCTGGGGTCTGACCATCACCACCCACCCCAAAGCAAGGATAGCCCACCCCACCTCACCCTAGACCTTCACAGCATACATTGTACCCAGGGACCCCCCCAACCTGCACATCAGGCTGCCGACTTGATGGTGAGGTCCTGGGAGGCAAGGAAGGCCAGCTGCACACATCCTGGAGAAGCTCTAATCTTGAATACACTTCCTCACAATGGCTGTCTTTCCTCCCCACTCCCCTCCTCCACAGGGCCTGGCCCCTGCAGCCCCAGCATTGCAGAGGCAGGTCAGGACTGGCCAGGCTCTGTAAACCAGCCCTCATTGAGCTTCCTCACCTCTCCGGTCTTCTGGCATATGCTGCAGCGAGTAGCATCAGCAGGATCCCCAGACTGGGGGATTGGGCGCTGCTGCTGGGCCTCATACAGGGAGAGGCAGACGGATGTGCAGAACTCGTGGAAGGAGCCTCCTGAACCAGTCTGCGCCACAACCAAGTCCTTGGTGTTCCAGATCTCCCTGCAGATGAGAACAGGCTTGAACATTCATTTGTTTCATCAGCTTCGAGCCTTCCCCTGGGATCGAGGACCACAGAGCAAATGCTCTCCGAGCCCCTACCCAAACTGCCTCTCTCTCTGAGTTCCACTAGGTTCTTGCCAACATAGTCTCTGTCTCACCCATTATTCCTGGCCTGATGCCTGCCCTTTCCACACCCCAGTACCCTCACGTACTTCTTGCAGAAGGTACAGGTCTTTTTGCCTGAGGGCTTTCTGGAGAAAGTGGTGAGACAGGATGAGGAACAAAAGAGCTGAGGCAGCCCCTTGCGTTGGTAGGCTGTCTGCCCCTTCTGCAGCGGTGTCCGGCAATGTGCACAAGTCATCTTGGTGCCCGCCGCAGAGCGCCCAGCCCTTTGTGCCACACTGGAGCGTAGGGACATGCGAGGAGAGCGCCGGGGCCGGAATGGCACAAAATCCTCATCATTGGGGTCATCTACCATGGCATCAGAATCCTCATCTGACACTGGAACTGAGGAAGGGGGGAGGGGCCATGAGAAAAGGCTATCAGACCTTGTCTCCAACCATCCCCTGACCAACAGGTAGCTCTACTGCTCCTGGGATCCCCTCAGTTCTTGCCTCTATCTCCTCCCCCACCCCATCACATTGATAACTTAAGCCACGGTGTCACTCTCCCTTAGGGAGGGCTCTAAGTGGGGAGATTCTTCAGGACAGGGATTGCAGAGCTGAAACAGGAAACTCCATTCTCACTGCTCTTGTTTTCAATCACCCCCACTGCCCCTGGTTCCCATGCCAACCCAGAGCACAGATAGGCACGTCACACTCTGCATGGAGCCAGGAGATCCATGGCGGCCACTTCCCACTCATCCCACTGGGTCACATTTCCTCAAGTCCTACTCACTGCTCTCAGTGGAATCCACAACCTCAGGTTTTGGAGGTTCTACTCTTCTAACGCGCTCACTTCTCTTCTGTACCTTGGAAACATGGGGAGGGAAGGAAAGTTGATATCAGGGGCAGGCTAAAGGGCCAGCTGCACTAGCACAGGGTTTAGGGGGGTACAGAGATGGGAGGGAGAAGGGAGAGTAGGGACCCTTGACCCAGCCCGTAGGAGGAGGGGAGAAAAGGAGGCTGGACTTTGCCTTAAGAAGCAGTAGACACAAGAGCTCCCTCCCTCCTCCTAACTCTCCTCACACACACCCTCTGAACATCTGGGAGGGAAAATGAAGGGTTGTCCTTCCTAGAGATATAGGGGGAACCAGACTCCTTCCAATCCCCTCCCCCCTCACCCTCTCAGGCGGCTTCTCACTCGCCTTTCCAGTCAGGCCATCTCCTGCAAAGGAAGCAAAAAAGCAGCCTAAATCTTCAACCTGCCCTCACACCCCCTTCCTGGACCAACTTCATTCCTGGGGAAGAACTTACTCAAAACTAAAAGGAAAAACTCAAGTGCCTTCTTGAGGCCCCTCTCAGGGTTACCTCAAGCTCTGCACTAAGGGGAAGGTGGTGGTGCAGCTACTCTCCATAGAAAAAAAAAAATCCTACCAGCTTTCTGTCCCAATCACTGGGAGTTAAGGAAGCACAGGTAACATACCTTTCATCCAGAATTTACAGTTTACCAACAAAATCCAATGTAATCCCCCAAAGGTAGGTAGCAAGGGGAGAAGGTAGGTCCACCCTGGACTCAGGTGGTTATATAAGCATTAAGACCCTGGTCACAGCCTGGGAGAGGTACCACTAGGCAGAACAGGGGAGAAATGAGAGCCTCTTCAAGTCTAAGCTGTCCCTCCCCTATCAGAGACTCAATCCTAGGCCCTGCATTTCTACCATTCCCCTAAATTCATGATGCTGCCGGAGGCTCCATTCATAAAACCCAGAATCCCCACTCTCATTTAGAACAAAACATCTGGAAAGATCTTAAAACCAAGAAGCCTGGATTCCTCCCCAAATCCTGAAGGAAGGGCCTGGCACCAAAAAACCACTGGGCTACAAAAAAGAGAATCTCTCCCACCAAATTCACTCTCTAACCCACCCCCTGAAACATCACCCCTATTCCTCCCCCACAGTAGCTGAGCTTCCCCCCACCCCTACCTTCCTTAATCTTCATCACCCCTACTTCTCCCTCCCAAACCCTCAACTCCTTCTTCATATACATCCTTTCATCTCTCAAACCTTCTCCTCCCCCTCCCCTTCTTCCCCAAACATACACAGTAGCCCCTCCTTACTCCCACCCTCTCTTCAACCTTGATTCTCAAGCTGAGTAGACAACCTACCTGGTAAGGAAGGGTGTGCAGGGGGGCTAGGGCCCCCAGGTTTGGTCTGAGAACTGTTGATTCCATCCCCCAGAGTCTCTCCCACTGAAGGGCTGGGGGGGCCATTTGGGCTCTGTGGCTGCCCCTGGGGAAGATCCTCCTCCTGCCCAGAGGAGCCCCTTCTCCCTGTAGCTATGGAGGTGGTCTCCTCCTCTTCAATATGTGGGGACTGAAGATTTATTGGAGAATCTGGAGCCAAAGGTTCTAGTAGCCCCTCGGGTGAAGAGGGATTTGCCCCAGTCCCTGGGTCAGGTGGCACCACCTCAGGGGTCTGGCCCCCTGGTCCAGGCTCTAGGGTCTGATCTCCTGCATCCCATGCGAGGGTCTCCTCAGGACCATGGTCCACCTCTGTGGGGGAGGGGGCTTTATAGAGCAGCCCCCCCAGCCCCAGCAGCTCAGTGGTTCCATCCAGAACTCCAGGGTCTTTTTCCAGGCCAGCAGGGGTATCAAGCAGGTCCAGGGCTCCAGAGGATGGAGAAGGGCCAGGGGGCGCCCATCCTCGAGTTGGGGCAGTCTGAGATTCCAGTAGATCCTCTCCAAATTCCATGTCTACTGGAAGGTCTCCAGCCAGGGGCTTCTCTGGCAGGGTCAATGGGTCAAACGTACTGGGGAAATCACTGGGGTCCATGAGGACGGCTGGATATGGGCTGTAGATTAGGGGTAGAAGAGGGGGCAGAAGAGGTGGTCTTCGCCAGAATTCCTTCTTATATAGGCTCTGGGACACACCCCATCATCCACTCGGATTTCTCATGAACAGCCCCCACCACAAACGACGAGCATTTCTACAGGCTT